GAGCCTGAGGCAGCTCCCATGGAGCCTCCATAACCCGCGAGACTAACTGAGCTCCAGTACCTCTTAGGACCAAATTGGGGCCTATGCGAGGACCCCAGGGCCCATCAAGCACTGGTGTGACGGCCAACGCACATGAACGTGCTAAGAGGCTACAAAGCACATGGTCGATGTGGGTACTTGTGGCAAAGTTGCATGTGGCGGCAATGTCTGCTTGCACGATCTCCCCTCCGAGTTTTTTTTCACGAGGCCTGACTTTCGGAGCTCCTGAACGCTCGCGCCCCAATCGCCGATGACGACCCAAGGGAGCTGGAGAGCATGCACCAATCCCGCTAGACGGCGGAATCTTCCAATATTCAGGCCTCTCATGCCGAGGCTGGAATGAGCGTAGAACGTCACAACTACGATAGAATACCCACGACAATGAACCACCTGCGCAGCAGATCCACCCGTACATTTGTGACCAGGAACCTTTTATCTGGTGCTTGCCGCCTTGGCCGCGACGACTCGATATACTTGCAGATGACAACGGGGCAGCAGAAATTCACTTCACTCATTGGCGTGCCCTTCCTGTCCAGTAGAGCTCTTATTGCTCTCTCGTTGCCTGGCAGCATTAGAAATGAGACAGTGCCCAACTTCTCATGCCTTCGTGCCGCGTTTGCGAATACCTGGTGCAGAATGAACGTGTGTTTCGATAAAGCAAAAAGGTCGTACTGTTTCGCGTGCTGCTCCACAAAAGACCGAGCCTTGTACCCCATGCAAGACATGCTTGAATAGAACATGTGGATGGTATTCCTCCCCTCGTCCTCGTCCCCATCGGGTCGAGGAGGTAGTCCAGGTACTGAGGGTAGTCATTCCTGCCCCTTGCCCTTGCCAGCCTGCGTGCACTTCTGCAGCAGGGTCTCCCTGCGCACCTTCTCCGGGCACAGCAGCACCCTCTGCGCCAGTGCGACGTTTCTTGGACATCCTCAGCTTGATGGCCCTCAAGAGGCGCCCAAGGCGGCTCGAGGACGGTCCCCGGGGCCGTCTGAAACCATGTTGGACATGCATGTCCCGAGCAACGGGCTGCTGTCCTATGGAATAGTCACGCGGGGACCTCCTAGGAGTGCGCGGGATCGCCCGGGAGCGCCCAGGAGCGCCCGAGAGCGCCTGCACCTCCAGGCTGTGAGCCCAATAAATATTATGTACAGAACTCTAAACAGAACTTGAAGGGACCAGAGGACGCTCCAACTCGTGCCTAAGGGCACGGTGGCGGAAACATATTCCCTTTTATATGTTTTTTACAATCTGGGCGGAACGCGAAAGGGGTCCCCCCCCAAAACCGGACTCCCGGGATCTGGGGCTTTGGGACCCTCTGGACGGGCCTCGAAGCGGCCCCCTGGGTCTCGCAGGGCGTTTTGCCAAGCCTTCCCAGCACACTTACGGCGGTCAGGGGGGTCATCGGAGACGTCCCAGAGACCCCCAAGACAGCACAAGAGCGCTCCAAGAGTGACCGACGTGACCTCCAGATGGCCCAAGAGGCCTCCAGGACGGCCCCAAAGAGGCCTCCAAGAGCACTCCCAAGAAAGCCCCAAGAGGCAAAAATCATTGATTTTCTGTTGGTTTTTGGTGAATTTGGGGGTTCTCCTCTTATCGGCTTCCCGACGCTCCGAGACGGCGGTCTTCTGGGCGTCCGAAGCCGGCTGGAAGGCTCCAAAATCGCCCCACAACCATCCGATGGGCAGTCCAAGAGAGCCCCAAAACGGCCCAACACTGGTCCAAGATGGCCCTCAGAGAGCCCCATGGCGGCCCGAGATGGCCCTAAGACACCCTCCGAAGCATTCCAAATCGTGACCCGGTCGTTCAGGGAGACCGCGGTTGGAGGCAGGGTGGCCCGAGGAAGCCGCCAGAGGCCTCCAGAATACGCCCAGGAGGCCTCCAGAAGGCCTTAAGAAAGCCTGAAACAACTTTTGTGAGGCCCCCAGAGGCTCTCCAAGGAGGAGCCTCCGGAAAAAAGAGCTGCGGAGGATGGGGAGAATGCGCAGGGTATGGCGAACATGAAGAAAAATAAGCATTGAGGAAGGATAACGAATAACATTATTATAGCGGCGATGCCGGAAAAGGCAACAAGGAGTTATCGCTAAATTGTCGGCTTGACCTTCCTGCTATTCCGCCTGCACGCAACACTTCAAGGACCAATGCGCATGGCGCGAAGCGCCAATGCAGTCTTGGATCTGTATGTATGTATGTATGTATGTATGTAAGTATCTGTGTGTATGTATGTATGTCTGTATGTCTGTATGTCTGTATGTATGTATGTATGTATGTATATGTATGTGCATATATATATATATATATATATATATATATATATATATATATTAAGGATATCTGAAGATAGTCTCAAATTATATGCTTGCTTGCTGCGGCTCAGCTGAACCTACCAAGCGTCCTACCGTGCTTTAGGGCAGGATTACTGAACAGGGGTTGGGAGTGGCCAGCCCGACGTGCAAGACGGCTCGATGTTGCCATCTCCTTGCCGAGCTTGGCTAGCTCTTGGCCGCTGAGAGGGGGCATATTCATCCCGACACTTAGTGAGTCGCTCAAGTGACGAATGAGCGACCATCGATTCGAGTACTCATACACAATCAGGGAAAACATACAATCGCATTGTATTACGCTCACTTTGTTTGAGTCTAACATGCTGAGCAAGAGCCTTTGATGAAGGAAAGCTTGCACGACACTGCTGGCAAACATGCTGCTCTATACTCGTGCACACGCTCGGGGACTCATCGAGCACCGATGCACTGAAATACAGCTGACAAACAAGTTGAGACCAGTTTGGAGAGCAAATCAATTCACTCCACTCCTGCCACGAGCTCACGGGCGGCATGGCAGGCACAACAGAAGACCTCAAAAGCTCAAGGTCTTGGCGCACCTGAAGGCTCCACCGCAACCAGTGGTCGTGCTTTAATGTGTATATGGAAGGTATGCATGCATGTATACATGTACTCATGTATACATACATGCATGTATGTTTGCGTGTTTCTATGCAGGTTCAGGTATGTATGCATGTACACATGCATGTATGTATGCATGCATGTATATATGAATGCATGTATGTTTGTATGTATGCATGCACGCATTCACGCAGGTATGTACGTATGCAGTTATGTATGCATGCATGTATGTATGTATGTATGTATATATATATATAAAGATATGTCTATGTTTATGTTTATGTGCATGTATATCTAGATGTATATGGATATGTATATGCATCAGTATACGTAGATGTATATGTATATGTGGATGTATGCATGCATGCATGCGTGTATGCATGTGTGTATATGTTCATGCATGCATGCATGCATGTGTGTATATATATGCATGCATGTATGCATGTATGCCTGTCTGTCATTCTTTCTGTCTGTCTGCCTGTATGCATGTCTGTCTGTCTGTCCGTCTGTATGCCTGTCTGTCTGTCTGTCTGTATGTATGTATGTATGTATGTATGTTGACGTGTAGGGTTGTATGTATGTGTATGTTTATAAGCAACTATTCATTTACCACGTATATATTTGTGTATATCTATTTACACATCAATACAACCATACATACACATGCTTGTGTTTGTGTGTGTGTGTGTGTGCGCGCATGTGTATGCGTGTGTGTGTGCGTTTGTGTATGAGTGGGTGCGTCTGCTCTTCCAGGCCTTCCACCTTGGCGCGGGCAGACCTTTTTTTGTTGGGGAGGCCAGTGCAGATGCCGCCGACACCTGCTTCGCCACCTGCTGGCATTCTCCTCTGTCTCACGCTTTTTCCCGGTCAGTTGGGCAGCCTCACCGCAGCCGCGCTTTCTCTTGCACTCAGTCTTCGATTTCTCGCGCCCCTAAGCGGGGTGCATGTGACGGCTTTTTGCCTTTCACGCGCCCTGCCTCTGTCCATGCTTGTATGCTCTCGCTTCCTCCGCGTGCATGGCCTTCGGCACAATTTACCTGCGTCCGTCAACTGCTCGTCGGTCTGATCCCCCATCGGCACACGCTCGATGGTAATCACTCTTAGCGCTCCCTTCTTTTGCCCTCGTTGCGTTGGACCTACCGGCCGCGAAGTAGAGTGTGTGTGTGTGTGTGTGTTGCGCGGGGTTGTGCCGCTGCACTTGGCTTCCTACGCCTCGTCGTTGAGGCCGCGACCGCCAAAAAGTGAATGCGCGTGTGTGTGTGTTTGTGTGTGTGTGCACGTGAGCACGCCAGTCTGTAATCTGGCACCGCCGCACGCTCTTTCGTGGCAACCGATGGCCATACCACGCGCACTTTTCCGTCACCGTCATGGCCGCCTGTTGTCACACGCGCCCACACACAGGGCGTACCCTGTCCCATCCGGACAAGGGTCCGTTTTCTTATCCTCTTGCCTTAACTGCCGTTACCCGGGGGGAGGGGGGTGGGCGAGGGGGCGGGTGACGTTACGATTCGTGCCGGTGCCGCCTGGGAAGTAGCTGCGCCTAGCAAGTCCAAACGGCGCTGGCGGCATCCGTGACGTTACCAGGCGGGGGGAGGAGGGGGGGAGCATCTACGTTGCATCTTCGGGGGGCCCCGCCTGTCCCCAAAATTGGTGTCCTCTCTTGTGTCCGACGCGGGCTCGATGCGGACTCGACGCGGATTTGGCATGGATTCGACGCGGGCTCGACACGGATTCGACACGGATCTGACGAGTCCGACACGAATTCGGCACGGATTCGATGCGGATAGGGCCGCGACGGGACAGACCAGGTCCCCCGAGAATGCAACGTAAGAGCATCCATAGTAATGGCCGTTTTCGCGAATCGAAAATTAGCGGGCGAAGAACGGAGAAACATATTTTTTTCCGTCACCGGGGGCGCTGCCCCCGAGCGGCTGGAAGGTTTATGCTTTGACGTGCCACCGTAAGGGTATAAACTTTCCAGCCGCCCTGGGACAGGCGCCTCCGACAGCGAAAAAAAACATTTTCTACCGTTCTTCGCCCGTTAGGACAAAACGCGCTCCAGAGGCGGCGCCCGAGCCGGGCGGCGAGCCGCAGACGAGCGCGGGCCGCGGGCCCGCCGCGGCAAAGGCCTGGGCTCCCTCCGGTGCCCTCGCCGCCGCCGCCGCGGCCGCGCTGGCGGCGGCCATGCTGGGGGTGAGGCGCGGCAGGGGAGGGAACGGTTTCGGCGGCGAGCGAGGGGGGGAAGTGTTAAATCGGGCGTGTCCCTCTACATGAGGCGTCGCCAAAAATAGTTAGAAAAATAGTCTGGGACGATTTTTCGACCATCTTGTAGCATTTGTTGAATATTTTTGGACTATTTTCTACTTTTCGTCCAAAGCCCGCCTGTAGGGGGGCATGCCCGACCTAAGGGGGGGGGGAACGAAGACTGACATAAACACAATAACTCTCGCGGATTTCTCAGATCGGCGCTGGGGCTCCCTGGCGGCGCCTCCGGCGCCGCCCCTGGCGCGCTCTGCGCGCCAGGGAGGGGGGTCGAGCGCCGATCCGAGAAATAAGCGCGGACCTCCGAGTTTGTATGTTCGTGTCATTGTTCGTTCCCCTAGCGAGAGGGGGAAGTGAGAAGGGGCGGGTCTTCTCAGGAGGCTCGGAAGTCTCCCGTCCTCCCGAGAAGTTTTCCACGCCTGCCCCGAAGACAAAGAGAACCTCGCAGAAGGTGCGAGGGCTTCTGAGAAGTCCCGCCGCCCTCTGAGAAGGCCTTCTCCTTCTCACTTTCCCCCCTCGCTCGCCGCCGAATTGTTGGCGGCGCCCACCATCGGCGTCACCCAAACATGCTAGTACTATGTGCGCGTCGCCCCCGAGGGGGCGACGCGCGCGCCGAGAGGTCTTACAGCATATGCTCGGCGGCGGGCGCTATCTGAGCATGCCGCTCGGGAAGCGATCTGCTACAAGATGGTTGTACTTTATGCTGGTGTTGGGCGCACGCCTCCAGAGGAGGACAATTCGTGCTACGGTGGGGGCTTTCGTTAAGGAGCGTGCCCAGGAAGCTTCAGACCCTGGAGGGCTCCTTATCTGATGAGGGCGGCGGTGGTGTCCGCCGCCAATCCACCATTGGAGTTCCACTTGCTTCCAGACCCTGGACTTCTAATCGAAGGTTTCCTTTTCCAACGCCCCCCACCGTGGTCAGTCCTTGTGCGTCCCACGCACGGGTGTGTCGCGAGGGGTGCAGGGCTTCCGCGGCGGGGCTTCTCGGAAGGCGGCGGGGCCCTCTCGGGAGCGCCCGGTGGCTCTGAGAGGAAGGCTTCCGGGAAGCCGCGGCGGCTTGTGGGAAGCGCATCCCTACCTTCTCAGAACGTCGCCCCCCTCGCAGCGCCCTCTCTGTGCGCGGCGCCGAATAGGTGTCGGGTTTCCGACGGTATGCTTGAGTCGGGCATGTCCTTCTACAGGAGGGATATGCAAGAATAGTTCAATATTCAATAGTAGTCAGGCGACGATTTTTCCAGTTTTTTCCTCACATTTGTTCGGATCTGCTTTGACTATTTTTGTGTTTTTTTCCAATCCGCCTGCACGAGAACATGCCCGATCTAACGGCCTGCTTTTTTCGATTCCAGCGGCTTTCCTTCGATTGGGGCCTGTGGGGGGCCCGCATTCGGATCCCACAGCCGTCAAGCATGGGGCGTAGCGCTAACCCCCCCCCCCCCTTGGGAAAACGGGGTCGGGAGCTCCAGGGCCGCGGATTGCAGCAAGTGATCGGGGGATGTCTGGGGATGACGATGCTGCAAGACCTCCTCTCATTGCGGCAGAAGCCGCGGCGGACGGTCTTGGGCCACTGTCAGCTTGGGGCCGTCAAGAAACGAGTCGGGATGAGAAGTTGGTCCTGGGAAGTGGGGCGGAGCTCCCAGGGACCGCGCATTGACATTACACCCCTTTACGCGGACATGTCTGTCCGAAGAGGTGAGAGGTCGCTTGGGAGTGATTTCTTCGCTGTGCCTTCATGCGGGGAGAGCTTGAGGTGAGCTTGCGAGTGGCTGGGAGTGAGTTTCCCTTCGTAGGTCTACATGGGGAGAGATTTTATCCCGTTTCGATTGTATACTCTTTGTGGGACCAGAGAGAAGATCCCTGAAAAGCTCTCCCACCCGGCCAGGCCAGGGGGAGGGGGGAGGGGGGCCCGCTTGGCGTTGCCGCGGCCCTCGTGCCCAGTATGACTAATTCCCCACATCCAAAGTGGGGTTCTTGCTGTCTCTGGACACCCCGCGCAGGAAAGAACACCTCACCCCCTCCCCTTCTCCTGTTCTTCACTGACGCACGCACACTCATCATCATCACCATCACCATCATCATCATCATCATCATCATCATCATCATCATCATCATCATCATCATCATCATCATCATCATCATCATCATCATCATCATCAGCATCAGCATCAGCATCAGCAGCAGCAGCAGCAGCAGCCTCCTCCTCCTCCTCCTCCTCCTCCTCATCATCATCATCATCATCATCACCATCACCATCACCATCACCATCACCATCACCATCACCATCACCATCTCCATCTCCATCTCCATCACCATCACCATCACGGTCACCATCACCATCACCATCACCATCACCATCACCATCACCCATGCACTCACCCACCCACCCACGCACTCACTCACCCACCCACCCACCCACCCACTCACTCACTCACTCACTCACGCACTCACTCACTCACTCACTCACTCATCATCATCATCATCATCATCATCATCACCACAATCATTACCATTATCAGGGCCCCGGAGGCATGAACCTGGAGGAAGTCTCGAGCGGGGGCCTCGTCTGTGAGTGAATTGTGAGGAAGTCTCGGGCGGGAGCTCCCTCCCCATGAGGCCCGCAGGTCATGTTATTGAGCCGATCGGGTCACCCGAATTTTGTAACGGTCGCCACTTTTGGGCCCCCGAGGGCTTGAATCTGGAGGAGGTCTCGAGCGGGGGACTCGGCTGTGAGTGAATTGCGAGGAAGTCTTGAGCGGGAGCCCGTGTCGCCCTGGGGCCCGCAGATCATGTTGTTAAGCCGATCGGGTCACTCGAAGCCTGTAATCGTCGTCACTTTTCGGATCCTGAGGCCTGAATCTGGAGGGAGTCTCAAGCGGGGGCCTCGTCTCTGAGTCGAGCCCTCTCCTTATAAGGCCGCTGGATCATGTGACGATTTCGAGCAGGTCATCCAAATCCTGTAACCGTTCTCATTATTGGAATCCTGACGCTTGAATCGCGAAGATGTCTCGAGCGGGGACCTCATCTGTGAGTGAATTGCGAGGAAGTCTTGAGCGGGAGCTCCCTCCTTATGGGGCCGCCAGATCATGTTACTAGCCGGCCGCTCTGCGGTTGATCGGGACTTTCCGTATATTGAAGAAGGAGCGTGCTTTTGTGGGCGAGTAGGGTGCTGGGGAGGGTGCCGGGTGGGCGCATACTGTAAAGATATTAGGCGGAACGGAGGCGCGTTCTCAGTGCCATGTGAAACGCATGCCACTGCGGAATCTAGCTGTAACGCCGCCATCCTGCTTGCGCGGCCTCTGCCCATGACCCTGATCGTTCACGCCTGCAGCCACTCCCGCTCCCATGCTCGTATCCTCCACCCTCTCCTTCACGTCCCCCAGTAAGCCCCTGAAGTCTAACCCTCGATCCTCGATCCCTGAGGTACCTGGAGGTCATCTCTCCTCCTCCTCCTCCTCCTCCTCCTCCTTCTCCTCCTCCTCCTCCTCCTTCCACAACATCACCGCCGATGTGTCGGCGTTGCGGGACTCTGCTGCGTTGGTGCAGAAACATTGGAGTACAGCTTCTTTGACAATTTGAAGGATCAGGTCGCGACCCATGAGGAGGCCTTTCAGCAGTTGGCTGTTATGACGGGCATTTTTTTCAAAATGCAAAGTTGATTTCGGATGCTGACGGCACGGCCTTCCAGCAGTTCTTGGAGTTTGGTGCCATCAGTGCGGTTGTGCGTGCCGAGCTAGCTCGTACGTCTGATCGCATTTTTACCCGTTCGTGCTGATGTTCCTGTGGGCGGTCGGTTGCCTGCGGCTTCTTCTTCATCGTCACCTACGGGCTCTTCTGGTGCTTCGGCTAGTGGCGGTGGCGCTGGATCCAGAGTGGCTCCGCGAACCGGCGTCGCGACACCTCCTGCCGGATTTGGCCCGAAAGTTCTCCAGCTTTTGCCGAGCTTTGTGATGACGAAGGGATGTGTGATGTTTGTGGTGGGCGGAACTCGCACGCGTTTTCAAGACTGACTTGCGCCAGCGTGCTCGAGGAGGAGACGAGCTGGACGCTGTGACCTGCTCCCTCACGAAGCTGCCGTTGCGCTTCGGAGGCCCTGGCGCTCCTCGTGGCGCTGGCCTCCGATTGGGGCTCACTGGCGGTCGCCTTCTTGGGCTTCACGTCGTCGCCCTTTTGTGTGGTGCCATGGGTTACTCTTGTCATGCGTTTCCTTATCCATATCCCTGGGGTATCTGTTGCTATGCGGCAGGCTTGCTCCCGCGGTGTCGGTTCGGCTCACTGTGTGAGTGGCGGTTTCGAGTAGATTTTTCAGTCAGACAGGACGTTTCTTTTACACTCGTCTCCTCCTCCTCCTCCTCCTCCTTCTCCTACTTCTCCTCCCCCTCCTGCTCAGCATCATCATCCACATTCGCTCTCTCCTCCTCCTCCTCCTCCTCCTCCTCCTCCTCCTCCTCCTCCTCTCTCCTCCCTCTTCCCTCCTCCTTCCTCCGTCCTCCTTTGTCTTCCCCCAAGATCATCCTTCCCCATTCGTGCTCGTGCTCGTCCTCGTCCTCGCCCTCCTCACCCCCCTCCTCTTCCTCCCCTCCTCTTTCTGCTCCTCCTCCTCCTTCTCCGTGGGGGCGCGGCCGGGGCCCGTGGGGCGATTTGCCAAGATGTCTCGAGCCAGTGCGCCAGTGGGGACACGCCTGGTGCGCCCGGCGCGCTCAGTGCATCTCCGAAACTGGTCCTCGGGGGAGGACGAGATACCCCAACTAACTTCATCGACTCGAGAGGGGGAGGAGGAGGAGGAGGAGGAGGAGGAGGAGGAGGAGGAGGGGAGGAGGAGGAGAGGAGGAGGAGGAGGAGGAGGAGAGAGGAGGAGGAGGAGGAGGAGGAGGGAGGAGGAGAGGAGGAGGAGGAGGAGCCCGTGCGGGGGAGGAGGAGGAGGGAGGAGGACGAGGAGGAGGAGGAGGAGAGGAGGAGGAGGAGGAG